GTAGAGCGCTCTATACAAAGCTTTATTGTAAATTGCGAAAGTGGAGGGACACCTCCCTTCCTTCTTTTTCTCCAAAACTCGGATACAAATTCACGTTGGTGACTCTTGCATAAGTTTCAAAGCGAAAGTTTAAATCAGCACGAAATTGTGTGCGAGAGCGACAGCCTTATCGAAACCCCAACTTAGTCGTTCCTATGTACTTTATTGTTAGATTGAAAAGGGTGCTGTTTCACTGCACAAACAATTATATTCCAGTTGACGGATAAATTCGGTTTTTTTTTTAATGAAATAGGCTAAGCAATACAACAAAGCAATTGTAATACTAACGTTGGAAGGGGATAAAACCTTTAGAGATCCTACCCGTACTCAGTTCTATTGACTTTTTAGTAGCAAATTTACTCTGAGAATGAAATCAAGGCATCCTTTTTCTACCTGGTTGCCTGGTCTAGTGAAAAGGAAGTATATGTGCTAAAAATGGGTTATTTTCAGGCAGGCTTCCTTCCATCAACGTGCTTTTGATTACTGGATGAAAATGTATCCCATGGCTTTGATATTTTTGTCACCGTTATCGGGTGTCCAATAAGCTAAGTTTCCACACGTGTGGGAATCTTTCATCCCGCCCGCTCCACCAAACCCAATTCTTGAATCATGAGAGCCGCAGCCTGCATTGCAACACTCATTACAAACGATACCAATTCTTGTTTTTGCATTACCACCGTCAGAATTAAAGCCCTCTATGTCACAGCAAAACTGCAAGGAAGCTTGGGAGCCAATCAGCGCCTTCCAGGTGTCACGGGCCAATGAGGTGTTGCGGTAGTTTCCATCAGCAATCAGTGAGTACAAAGATTCAGCCTCTCTATTAATGACAATAAAGTTGAGCTGGTGGTCAACCTTCATACCAAGACAGATCTTGGAGAAAGGTGTATTCCAGTATGTCGGTAACTTGGTCTCTTGCGAGTCAAACCCAGTTTTTCCTCCTGGTAAGTTGAAGGAATTTTTGTCGCTCCAATAGTTGGAATCATAATGGAAAGTTCTCTGGAATGATAACCACAATGTTACTTAAACCGAGTCCTTTCCTATAAAAACATTCTAAATTTGATGAGACTTTATGACAGTCCACGTATCTATGTTTTGAGTTCAACATTTTTTATATCAAATTAAATGACCCCAGTTTTCTCAATTATCATGAAGAGGAATTTGACCTATTAATTTCGCACCTTTCCTCTGTAAAATGGAAGTGTTTGCTGCTTTTTTCGTTGCATGTCACAAAGTCAAGCGTAACCTAGACAGAAGATTTTTTTCAAACTTTCAGATAAAAAACCTTTATATGACCTACAGATGTTTCAACAAAAATCCCTTGGACTTTAAGCCAACAAGTTTCTTTACTTAAAATATTCGCGAAAAATATGGTTTTAGCAGTTTCTGCCTCGTGGTTGTTACCTCTGGGTTTGAGATTGTTAAGTCAGGCAAACTGGAAAGGCATTGACAAAATTTTATATCAGACAGAGTACATCTCCCATATAACTTCCCTTCGACAAGGACTCCTTGAAACGCACATGTACGCCATTTAGAAAAGGTTTTGAACAATTTACAGTACCTTGGTGCCATCTATTTTCATAACCAGCGTCCATCCACCACCCCTGCATGCTCCAAGACTGCTCATGTGACAATACACTGGAAGTGACGCTGGTCCCAATTTCAAGGAATAGGCTCGGTTACCTTCGGACCTGAACAACAAGAGCAGCATATTAGATATTGTGGTGGGTTGGATCAAATTGGGAGAACTTGTCAAGAGAAACTTCTTTCTGCAAAAGCGACTAACGTTGTTCACACCAGGATCGTAAAGACCCAATTTGGTCATTGACAGGAGTTTCAGAGGGGGCTGTATTTGCAGGTTGTCAGTATGATAGTTCATTAGGTATGCTAAATTTAAATGAGTTTAGTTGAAGCTACTTCCTTGATACTACTTAAGGGGGACCATCCATTAACATCAAATATTCGTCAAAGATGTAGCGCGTCAGATCAATATTGGCTGCACCATTCCAAAAGTCCTCTTGATAAGGCATGTCTTTCATTCGTTCAAGGGTCAAGGAAGGGTCAAGGGTCAAGAAAAGAGAAGATGAGCTCAAGAGACTGGAATAAGCACAACTCGTATTTCAAAAATGGTCTCTTGAAATTATTTCTTAGCTCACTATACAGTAAATATTGGGTCAAGAGATATAGATTATTGTGGCATTTAATAGTTTCTCCACACAAAGATATTCAAGAAATGTTTGAGTTGCTAAAAGAAGTATTCTTGCAAGAATATCTAGAAAATCTAGATCGGTAATAGATGTAACTTGAGCTCCGCGATTAGCTTTGGGATAGGTTCTTTTGAAAACTCAGTCTCTCGGCTAGATTTATCTGTTGATTTAAACCAGTTCACTAAAGGAGTGCGACTTACGAGTCTAGCAGATCACTGCAGCTAGTTCCTGAGGAAAAGAGAAAAACTTGTTTAGAATATTCTATGCTACATTGGCTTACACAAATAAGAATTTTTTTAAGCAGGTACGATTCCGATAAGAATTGAAAACTTTTCCTAAGAATTCTTCAAGCAGTTCAAGTATCTCATCCGCATTTTGCTATCTTGCCCAGGGATTGCCCAAGATATGCTTGTGTGAAGCATTTCTAGACAGACCACAAAGATCCATTTGATAATTTCACGAAACTAAAAAAAAAAGCACCTAAATTGACGTCTGGGATGTAAGCCATTACCGATGTCTATGTTGACAAATATCCAGAAAGCATAAGTAGATTGTAACTTAAAATTGACCAACTGATTATTCCCTCGTACCCATTCGGCAATCCAATCAGATTTCAGAATTTCCCGTTGGTAAAGCAAGTGGTTTAGTATTCATGTTCATGTTTACGGGTATATTTACCTATTTTACACTTCTTCCCAGTATAACCAAACTGGCACAGACATAGGTATCCTTTTTCCGTATATCCGTTTAAGCAAGTCGTATTGTGAAGACAAGGGTTACTTGAGCATAAGTTCTGTTGGGTAAGCGTAGAGGCTACTAATATACCGTTAAAATTATAAAATAAACTGAAATATGCTAAACAACCAGCTCAGTGTGAAGTTTGAAAGGGGTTGGTCTTATGGTAGTTGAAAAAAGGTAACCATGCGAGACTAGAAACAAATACAGGAAGAAAACAAGCTAACCACAAAATTGGTATAAGATCACAGTTCCCAGTTCTTAAACAAATTTTTGTGGAAGTGCTGGCTGGTGAAAATCAATAAATGATCCAAGAAATTCTTTTTTTTTAAGTGGAAGTGCAGCGGGAACTGCTCAAATATGGATTGAAGTATCTCACCTCACTGCTCTGATACATGAACCCTTCTCGAGTTACAAGATCATCAGGATGCTGGACGTGATCAGAATCACTCAGCTGACACGAAACTTGGTCTTTTATCGGAGGACCAATGTTATAAGACACACAGTTGTCTTCCAGAGTGCATTGCCCTCTACAAGAACTACGCAGTCCCAAGGTTAAAGTTAGGTTCTTAATCACATGACCAACAAGGGCCTTGTTATGAAATGGTGAGGCAAACCTTAGTCTTCGGCATTGACCTGGGAAAACAAAGGTAAAAAGTAATCTTCACCTTCCCTCAGGTTAAACAGCCGTTGCTTTGTTTGTCTTCAGGTGATTCTCGCCAATTTTAAAATTGACACTATCAGCTATTTACGAGGCGAGCTCATTCGCTTTTTCGCGTATCCCAGGTTACTTGCTAATTTTCACACTTAATCCATATCCCCTTGCTGAAAAATCAGGTCAGTTTTTGTAATATCTTGGATTTTAACCTTGCCAGGAATCTCTTAACTAATAAATTTCAGGCCTAGTTGCTTTTCTTTTATATTCACTGAACGGGCCACGCTCAACCACAATACATTGCGGGCGAGTTGTTCATTCTCATTATTTTCTGTATTACTGAAACGAATAGAAGCCTACTGTAATTGTTGTTTAATTCAACTCAGTCTTTGCAACATTGATACAGACGCGGCTTCTTAGAAGTTAATTTAGCTTATTCAAGTGTCTAGCGCCTCTGTTTCCCGCTTTTTTTTTCGCCTTCATTGCACGTTCGCGATGATGAAGCCATCAAAAAGTGATCGTCCTTCTCAGGGGGAAAGACGCTATTTATTCTTTAGACGTATTTCAAAATTCTGTACGTTTCTATCAAAGTGGAGAGTGACAAACTTGTTATTAGGAGGGGTAATAGGGCGTAGCGCTTCTCCTTACGCCTGGTGAATGAAACTAATGAAAATTCAAGTATTGGAATATACCTGTCTCTTTGTAATTCGTATGCACATCAAAAGTCGACTCCCTGCTAAACCTCTCGCTACCGTACACTTCTGTGTCCAAAGAATATGAATTCAGAATTTTGTATTCAGGCGTGGATTTTATTGTATTGTAATGCAGTTTGCGCGTCTTAAAAATTCTTCTATTTTGTTTTTGGTTTGTGCTCTACAGACAAAAACGTTGTCATAATGCCAATAATCGTCCAAACTAGCGGTTTAGTTGTGCTCAAGTTGAAAATTCATTTTTTCCTTTTTTTTTGGCATGAAAATAGTGGCAAAAGCTACGACCTTTGCCACTCCATGGATTTGCGAGAAATAGTATTGTGTTACCAAATAATAACAAGAACAAAGGCGCGCAATGCGCTCTGGTTGAACGTGGCTCTTCAACTGTGAGTCCAAGAGGCTTTATTTCCATGCGCATAAGATAATGAAAATCATTCCCGCCAAATAAAATAGCTCCAAACTCACCCGGATACTGGCCGTTCAGCATGGCACCTGAGGTATCGATTCTCGTTCAAGAATAGTTCGATCCTCGCAAACAAATGGTCTCAACATTCAAAACTAATCTCAGGATATAAACATATCGAAGAACTAACATAATGTGGAGTTTTGCAAATTATGTACTTAGGCTTGGGTCACTTAGAGCTTGTTTTGTCTGTTTCAGCAAAGAAAAAATAAAAAAAACCAAGTAGCGTAAAATAAATGCGACCTCCAATTTTAAAAACTTGTCAAATATTTGCGGATCGCCAAGATTTCGCCAGTATTCATAAGAGCTGATGTCCTGCCAC